CTGATATCTCGAAAAACAAATCGTGAAAAAGTTCAGATCCATTTCGGAGACAGATTAAATGAAAATTTGTATTAATTGCGAAGATACAAAGGAACGTGATTGATTTCGTGTTGGAGATTAATATTTATTTTCAATCGATAACAACAACATTGAAATATACAATTGCGACCGACTAGTGTGAGGTATCCGTTTGTTCCTCCGATTCTATTTGGTATGATCATACAGTAACAGAGAACAGCCGCATATCGAAATTCGACGAGATCTCTCGAACTCTCGAACGCTTTCATATTTAAACGCGCCCCTTTATTTCAAGCGCGATAAGCGCACGAGAGAGCGATATCGGTTTGTTGGGTCGAAGAACGACGGCGACACTCTATCGAAGAAGACAATTCACACCTACGAGAACGCGGACTATCTACACGCATATATATATTTACAACGATTTTAAATTAGCGGTAACGCGATCAACGACTTCGAAACGCGCGTCTCATAAGCGAAAACTCAGAAACCAAGTCGAAACCCTCATGCACAGGGTGTGTCAGAAGTCAGGCGTCTTCCGGTCAGTTGTAAATTTGTATTTCTATAATTCCTTTCAATCTTCTCTGTTTGAGAATTCGATTAAATCAGCTGATTTTGTGGAGTAATATTATATAATTCAATTCTTTATTTTAAAATTCAATTAGATTAGGTTGATATTGACTGACACGTCAGCTGACACGTCAGTTGTGTAAAATAATTAGATAATTCAATTCGTCGTATAATCATGAGACCTTGATTTATCTAAACTAAAGAAAAAAAATAAAAATAATTATACTCCTTTTATTAAGTATTTTTTTAATAATTCGTACTTGTCATTAAAACTCTGAGAAAAAATGCGAGAATTCTGTACACACCCTATACGTGAGACGTGGGTGGCCCAGGCGAGTAGCAGTGTATCTCTTTGCCTAGATTAAAAAGGAAAAAGAAATCTTGAAAACCATTCGCGACACAAGTCGCCGCAGTGGCAGGAAATCGTTCTGCGTCTTATCTGATCCGAGTCTCTAATTTTGGGAAAAGGGACAGAAAGAGGAGAGAGAGATATCTAATCGCGCGAGGATGAGTAAAACTCTCGATCAACACGCTCGATACACGCGACGTGGCACCTTCTCGACGTAGATCCTTGTCGTCGTCGAGGAACGATCAGTTATACCGACGCCTCGTGAATCGAATAACCGTGAGTACACACTTCAGGAATTTACGTGCGCTTTTAAAATCCGGGAAACTAAGCAGACGAAACGAAAGGAGATATTCATCTCGCGTACGGCGATTGTGATTTACGCGTGGAATTAAAAAATTCTCTCTCTCTCCTTTTTTTTCGGTGTCTATTTCATTGTGTTAGATTTTGGTGCACATGAAAAATGTCAGATTTTCCAGCGATTATTTTAAACTCATATTCTATGAAAATAATGAGTATTTAATTAAAACACGAGCTCTAAATCAGAATTAATTTTTCTTATTCTATGTAGTGAATAAAAGTGCTTTTTTTAAGAAAAATTTTGGATTTTTAGAATCGACGAATTTTTCAGATAAAATCTGTCAGATTTTCCAGCGATTATTTAAAATGTTATATTCTATGAAAATAATGAATATAAATGCCTTTTTAAAACAAGTCTATAGCTGAATTTTTAGAATCTATTATGTTTTCAACTTTGCTGTAATCGATAAGAAATATAGGCCTAAGAATAATAATATTTATATTATTTACAACTAAAATAAATTCAAAAAAATTTTGTAGAAAAAGCAAAGCGTTTGAACTATATGCAATTTTATGCAAAGTAATAAAGATTGAAATTGTGATACAAATATTTTCAATCCGTGAAAATTTGACATTTTACATGCACTAACTTAATATTATTTAATTCTAAGCCAAACGCGACGCAAATTATTGTTACAAAGTAATTACTTTTACAAATTAAACACCACACATGTGAATTCAAAACCGCATAAATATTTGGATTTATGAACATCATAATGTAAATTCAATTAAACTTTTCAATTAATAATTAATTAAAATTTCCGTCAATATTCTTTGAGTTTGTATAAATATAAAATAATACTTCTAAAATTTTCTCACATGCGACAAGAATAAATTAAATTAATAAATATTACACCGCGAATCTTTCTCGAGCAACAACAGATTGTAACGCCAAGTCTGTACAGCATTGAGTTGTATATATTTTCTGTGTTTGTATGTTACAATATATTTAATCAAGAATTGGAATATACCAGCAGAGGAATTTCAAAAGAGAAACTATTGCAATGTGCGATTTAAAATTGTGATTCATAAGTTATAGAATCTTGAAGAAAATGTGTGTGCATATGTATATACATATATGTATGTATATGTATATACAGAGTGTAACTGACAAAACATATATGGAACACACTATCAAATTCTCTGACCAATTCAAATGTGATTTTTCTTCAGTGGAAAAATCTGTCGAAGCATTTGTCATCATTTTTGCATGTTTCTAATTTTTGCCTTCATATATTTTTGCATAATTAAGCTACTTCAATTAAAATTTTTTAAATTATATTAAACCTAAAAAATAACTAAAAAAATGTAATTTTATTAATAAAAGTTTAATTTGCAAGAACCTCTTTTAAATCATTTATAATTTTAAAATTATTAGTTTCTTGACATTTTCACTAATGATGTTTTTATTAGTTACACCCTGTATACATTTGTGTGTGTGTATATATATATATATATATACACGGAAAAAAATTTAGCCACCATAACTAAATTTTATCCCTATATTACAATCTGAAATTTAGCTGTGCCTAAATTTTAGCTATGATATGTAATATTTTTTAGCTATAGTTGATCTCCCTCGAAGAATTTTATAAGTAAAAATATTAGCCATTATATCAAAAAAATTTAGGCATGATAATTAAATTTCATATAATATAGGACCAGCTAAAATTCAGTTACAGTAGCTATTTTTTTGTATACACACACACACACACACATCTATAGGAACATATATACAAACTACAAACGCATGCTCTCTCTCTCTCTCTCTCTCTCTCAGGAATCGAAAAATCCTGTACATATATATTAACATACGCGAACATTCATATATAAATATTTGCAAATATATTTACAGGGAGATGAGAGTGTGTATATGTTACACGAAAATTCGCGGAATTTAAGAACTCGTATTTACGTCTCACTAAGAATTATCCCAAGATGAAGCACACAGCATCCTTACATAATCTCTACTCTGTAAAAAAAAAAATTATACACATTGGCAACGAGGATAATTTTCGAGAATTTGTTTAAAATCTCTGGCTAGACATAACGCAGACTCGTAAAAGTCGACAAATTATTCCGAGTGATTAACTTTTAATCGTATACTTATATGATAAATATGTCTATTATAAATATTCTTTATACTTTATTCGCTAAAATTCGAGAACTCGGAACCTACCTTCGCTAGATTTGCGTCATCAGTTAGCGTCAATAGAATTTCCGTCACAATTTGCATTCCGTCGGAGAGATTCAAAGTTGCAATTTCATTCTTCTATATCTTCTACATCGCAATCGTAATTACGTTTCGTCATCTGTCCGATCAATCCCGAGAATATAACTCCGAGAAGTCCAAGTCAACAAGGTCTGTTCTGATGTGAATAGACACAGTAACGTCTTCCTCTGCTCTCGTGACGAAGGAAATAATTGACACAAAGAAGATTTCAGCACAGGAAGCAGGAAGTCGAGAGTCACTCCAACATCGATTATTTTATCGATTTCGCGATCATTAAAGCATCGAAATTACACGGATTTTTAATAAGTTTCCTGATTATGCGAGATATTCCTACAAATTTTACTGGGAATTAATTCATTAATTAATTATTTAATTGATCTCTTTTAACTTAATCCTTGTCATTTGTCTCTCTGAATGAAAGGGAGAATAATCCTTTGCACTCTACGCAATGATCGTTCAGATATTCTTAATAGTACACAAAAAAGAAGTGTTAAATCAACTTATATACGGTGTAGAAATATGTAATATATTACATAAAAATATATAAAATTAAAATATTATTTATCTAATTTTACATATTTTTATGTAATTTTACATATTTTTTAGTGTACGCAACAAAAAAAGTGTTAAATCAAAATTTATATATTTGTATATACGTAAAAATTTGCTTGAATAACAAAATTTTATATAGTTCAATCATGAGAAATATTAATATTATTAAGAATAATTTCTCTTGAATGAAGAAAAAAAATGTTGAATAGAAAATAACTTATCTTTTTATAAAGTAACATATTTTATTATAAGTGACAATATGTAATATTGAAATAAGAGTGTAATATTGAAATGTAAGATTAGCAAATTTTTATAAAAAGATAATATATATTGTGTTATACATATATAAGTATATGAGTGTTGATTTGACACTTTTTTTCTGTGTATACTTTCAGTTATACACTTATTTATATTTGTAATTAAAATTACATTTTTTATATTCTAATTTATTTAATATCGTATTTTTTTTCTGTTAAATATTATAATAAATAGAAATATGTATTATATATATTTCTACTTATTATATAAGAGAGAAATTATTTTCTAATTTATTTAATATTACATTTGTGTGTGCTTTTTTCTATTAAGTATTTTTATAATAAATAGAAATATAAATACAATTATATATATATATATATATATATAAAGGGCATATATACAAAAAGAAAAATAAATTCGTAAATTCTTGAAGCAAATCTAATTAATTATTTAATACGGGAGTGCAAAGGATTACAATAAGAACAATTATTACATAATTAATAAAGCTAATTTAGCCTCGACTCGAAACGAATCTCGAACGAGAAACTCCTTCGCACGAGAAGGAAAAGAGATCTTTGGTACCGGAAAAGAAGGAGATGTAAACGCTGGAAGAAAAATTATTAACTTGAGCTTTCAACTAAATTACTATTTTGTTAATTAAACATATATTAGTAATTAAGTGAAATATACGTTTCGTTGAGATTTAATGCTGTTTAATTAAAATATTTTTATATGTTTAATTAACAAAATAATATTGAAATTTAATCAAGTCAAGAATTTTTTTCTCAGCGAATTCGGGATAAAATGAATCTCTTAACGTCTCATGATGTCTTCTATGCTGAAGCCGAGCTTCGGCGCGGTCCTTTGAATCGGCAGAAGGTTGCTTATTCGCTCCATCTGTCTGACCTCTGTGGTGATGATTCTGGTCGAATCCGAGGACACCTGAGGCTCGATCCTGAGGTCTTGCGGCACCTCCGAATGCGTCATCAGATGCGTCTTCAGATTGCTCCTCTGGTTGAAGCTCCGGCCGCAGATGTTGCATTTGTGCGGCGACTCCTCCATATGCAGAATTTTGTGCACCGCTAGAGTTCTGCTCTGGCAGAATCCCTTGCCGCATTCGGTGCATTTAAATGGCTTTTCCTTGCTGTGTATATATCTAGAAGTAAAAAGAGAAGCGTTCTTAAACGTGATCACGAGCTAAAGATATTTATCTTTTTTTAAGTAAAATTAAGTCGGAAAGAAATATTTTTGTCGGCTCTCAATATTAAGAATATAAATTATATTATTTTCCTAAGTAAACTTGTGGAAAATTATTCTGAAGGATAAATACGCGATCCTTCGATTTTCGTGGCCCTTTGATAAATAAGTTGCAAAAATATCCCCTCCATATTCTGTGATATAGATGTGTTAATAGATAAATATTAATGGTTAATATTGATTTCACTGTTTTCATTTAAAAATAGTTTTTCTTTAATGCTTGGTTGATTCCGCGATTATTATCTCTTTGATAATTGCGATGAGTTATTGGCGATAGAAGCAAATTGAAATTTCCTGTTTGGCGAATACGAATGACACAAAGACTTAACATTGATTAATACTACATACATGTCTATGTATGTAGTATCTTTATGAAATGGATCCTATCGAAGAGTCTGAAAGCTCCTAAAAATATTTTTTAAAGCTAAACTCATATAAATTGATTGCCGGCGCGAAAAACTTTACTCCAATTTTATATGAAAATTGCGCTTATGATAACAAAGAATTATCAACGTTATAAAAAATAGAATTTTACTTCAAACAAGATAAATTATACAGTTTTCAATTAAAAAAATATTTATCAAGTTTTTATACAGAGATGTCTCGTATCCAGTGAATTACTGATTTACGATAAATTTTTGACATTTTTTGGAGACGATTTTTCCTCAGCGAAAATGTCGAGGCATCAATCATTTTCAAGTTATAAGCTGTTGGAAATAAACGGTTTTTCGCAAACTAAGTCTTGTGGAAACAAAATATTAACAAAATCACGTTCTTCAGTTAATTTCAGGAGTAGACATAAACTCTTAAAATTCCAATTAAAATTCTATTAAAGTAAATTCAATACAATTTTAATTTAAATCTTAATTACAAAAGATACATAATGACAAAAATTGAGAACATGTAAAAAATTATAATCTCTGACATTTTCGCGGAGGAAAAATCGTTTCCAAATTAATGTCGGAAATTTAATTGCATATCAATGATTCACTGGATACGAGATACCCTGTACCTGTTAAAAAGAATAAATAAATTTGTCTCGATTATTGATTTATGCTTTTAACGTTGTTTTGCATTTTGTAATCTATGCAAAAAAATAACAAAGATTTCAAAAATATTAATCTTAATCCTTTAGAAACGTCTTCATAATTGACACAATTAGAAAAAAGTAATATGCGACATGCTTCAAAATTATAAGCATTCTTTGATTTTTCCTCATTTGTAAAGAAACTATAAATATGTATATCTCTTGATCATTTAATTCATTGGCCACTAAATAATAATAAAAACACCGATAATAATAATATAACTAAATAATAATAATAATAATATAAATAATAATAAAAAATAAATATTCAGTTTAATAGTAATAGTCGCAATTGTGCGATTCTCTGATATAATATTCAGGGCAGTAATTACAAGAGAAAAAAATTTCTATTTTTGGATGAAAAACAAAATCAAATGTATCTTCTCAAAATTTTAAAATCAAAAACATATTTTGTCACAAAATCAAATATATTTTCAGAAATATTTTCAAAACGTTTTTCTAAATTTATAAGAGTATCAAACTACATATACATATATGCTTTGTTTTGAAAATCACGGTTTCATGTAAACAGTAATTAAATCCACTAACTCGTGAAAATTCGATAGATAACTATTCTAATCTTAATATCTTCAGCAGGAGATTCTTTGCGTGAAACTGCACCTTTCAACACAATTTCGAAAACACGCAAGAAAAATTACAAAAACTTCAGCGATCAGTATAATGTCGAAGGTACAAAAAAAAGCAGAGGACATAAAAAGATTCTAACGGTACATTCATTCAAAGAAACCGTGTTTAGTTTCCAATGCGAATTTCTAATTTCTTGTTTCGATTGAAACTCTAAAAAAAAAACAGTTCTAAGAAATCGTTTTTTCTGCTCCAAAACACACATAAGATTTATTTTATTACCGCATTGACAGAACACCACACATTCCATCAAGACGTCGCTCAATTTTCACCCTATCTACCTTATTTGATTCTAAACTCCAATTCCCACAATTCATCTTTGAATCTACCCCATGATGAGTCGAAATCAGATGAAAATTGCCAACGTTCCTAGAGAGGAATCTCGTTACCATCCTCCGGTCTACCTAAACCTAGTCTTTAGTCTCGTAAATGGTTTCTGCCACGTGACACCGCGTCTCCGGACGACGAAGCTGGAAACATAAATCTACAGAGTACTTGCCGGTGGTCCCGCAGATGATCCTGCCTGCGAAAGGCCTTCCCGCATATGTCGCACGAGTACGGGCGCTCGTCGGTGTGGGTCCTCTCGTGGATCAGCAGGTTGTAGCTCTTGGTGAACTGTCGATTGCAAAACTTGCAAATGAACTGCTTCTTCGGCCTCTGACCCGGCGATCTTCTCGCGAGGAACGAGGGCGCGGGCGGCGGCACCGGGATCATATTCTGATGGGTCTGATGATAATAGAAATGCGGACGAGTCTGAGGACAGCAACCTCGGACCGCGAGCAGGGCCGCGCCTTTCAGCCAGGTGTCCAAGAAGGTGGCCTGGTAGCCACCGACGTTCTGGTGCGTCGCTTGGACGTGTTGTTGCTGCTGAAGATACCTGCCGACAGGGTAAGGCTGGGACCTGGTCCACCTGGGAAACGGCACGTGGTGCTGCTGCTGCTGTTGCTGCTGCTGATGATTATGCATCGATCTGTCCACGGTTGGAGGTGTTTGCGGCGGCGTCAGCGGTTCCGTCTTCGTCTCCATCTATCGTCAAGCTAATGGGTTTCCTCTGAACTGTCAAAACGGCGGCCAAGGAGGCCGTAATCGATCGAACGATCGGCACTGGAGCAAAATCGTCACTTCGGCAAGAATCGATCGACTCGGGACACATAAGGCTCGCCCGAACTCGAGGGAACTGTCAAGGGAACAGGAGCTCCAGCAGTCGACGCGTCGCGCGGACCAGGCGGCAAAGAGGGAGAGAGAGAGAGAGACAGACAGACAGACAGATAGAGAGAGGGAGATCGAAAAGAAAAGAAAAAAGATAGAAAAAGAGAGCAACGAGAGATTGATACGAGAGTCGGAACGATACTAGTAAGCTGGTCCGATCGGGATCCCAGAGAGTCGTTCTCGCCGTTCACCTGGCGACGGTGAGGACGAGATACCGCCAGCACGGTGGCTCCTCCTACCTCCTGAACACCCGGTTGGTTGGCGGTTCGACTTCCACAGGGGCGGAGCTTCCGGGTCACGGTGACTCCGGGGCGTCCCGACGCTCTTTATCCCCAAGTCTGTACCCAAAACATAGTCTATAGTCTCCCGCTGCCGTCTCCCGTCACGTCGTCGACCAAGACGGGGGATACCGGGTGTAAAAGTTCAAAGCCAGAAGACACGCGTCAAGCGTGTCGGGGTCACGCGTGATTGAATGAGCATCGCAAACGGTTGCCACACGCGAAGCTGTACAAAGGTGTCCGTAATTTCGAATTTCATATACTTTTAGGTGGACAATAGGTGTCCGTAATTTCGAATACTTTCAGATAGACAATAGGTGGTCCCTAAAGCTCTCTTGTGACCTGAAGTAATGCAACCGACTGTGTCAATACATCACTCTTAATAATATCCAATAGTTCTAAGATTTACCAATCACAGCCATTACTCTGAAAGAATGGAGCGACTGTTGATGATCAATCTAATTACAGATGTTATTAAACCTGATTAAAGGTGACAAACTCACAGTAATTCACATGCAAATATATTCACTGATTAAAGCATTGGGCAAGTCTGACCTTCAGTGGAAACACTCGCACTTTGCGTCTCCGTTTTATGTTTCACCGAGTAAAACTTCACTAAAAAATTAACCACAAAAACAATTCTTCTCGTATCCAGCGAATCACTTGATGTACAATTAGATTCTCGACGTCACTTGGAGACAAATTTTCATCGGCGAAAATTTTGAGAAAGGTCATCATCTTTTACACGTTTCCAATTTTTGCTATTATGTATCTTAAATTAAACTAAGCCTTATATTAAAATTTTATTATAGTAAGCTCTATCTGAAATTAATTGAAGAATGTGATTTTGTGTTAAAGATTTTGTTTCCACAAGACTTTGCGAAAAACCCTTTATTTTTAATGAAACCTTTACTTTTAATTATGTTTAATAACTTGAAAATTATTGGTGCCTTGACATTTTCGCTGAAGAAAAATCGTCTCCAAATGACGTCAGAAATCTTCTGTAAATCAATAATTCACTAGGTACGGGACACCCTGTATTTATAACTGAAATTGCTGTCAGTAATACATTGATTTGTTTAAGAAATAATGTAGAAAATATACGAAAGCCAAAAAAATTCTGTCTCTAAATAGGGAAAAAAAAAAAAAAGAGGATTTTTTGAAAGAAAAATTAATGTTTATTTTCAAAACCAAAATTCTCCGTACTTTTAACTATGCATATATTTTTTTAAACATAATTTCTCGATATAATAAAAATAAAAATAAAAAGCACTTTGTTGGGATACGTAAAACTATGATATAGCATGCAAAAATCAATATTAATGGATAGATGACAATCTTTATCCCATCGAATTCTGCGTTCAGATAAAGCTGCGCGTTGCCATACATATATGATCGGCAATATATACGCGAAAATGGATGGCAATTCCGCGCTTATTACAAACTCCATTGCAGTGAACGAACGAGCACGTTTCCGGGATAGTGCATCGGGTAATCGACTCACGCAAGTTTTCATGCGAGCCAACCACAGAGGGTTGACGGGCGCGAAACCACCCCTACCGTAGAGGAGATAGAGATATATTATACATGCCATGAGATCATTATCAACAAAATGGCGTCACTAACCATACTTTCATTATTTGAACGAATAGAAAATTATCTGTTGATAATATTTTGATTCCATAAAATGATTAGAGGCCATGAGAAAATACATTATGGCGTCACCATTATGGGCACCACTTATTATTATATCGAAATATCAACGATAAAAACTCTTTCTATTCGATTAGATAATGAATGAAATAAGGATGGGTCAGTAATGTTTTGTCGAGGGGATAACCACTTAATGTAATCGTGGGACAGTGTCCCCGAAATCCTTATGAAATCCTTATGAAATCCCGTGTAATCGTTTGCAATCAGATGTAATTGATAAAGTCAAATGAAATCATGTGGAATCATTAGAAATCATAATGAAATCATATGTAGTCAGCAGAAATCATTTTGAATTTTCGTGTAATCATTGGAATCATGTGTAATCATTATGAAATCTGTGATGAAATCATGTGTGGCACGAGCACTTTCCGTAGTAAATTGCGATCAAATTCAAGATAAAATGCTATTTATAATTTTATGTGTCACATAAAATCCTAAATGATTACATGTGCAATCACGAAAATGCATTGTGTAATCAGATGAAATCATTACTTTTATGAAATGATTTCATATGTAATGAAAAAAATCCATTTGCAATCAGATGAAATCATGAAATCAAATGAAATCATGAAATCAAATAAAATCATGTAATCTGTGGGACAACATTTTAGCTAGTGGTTACCCCCTCGTGTTTTGTTCATAATGATCCATGATATGTATAATATATCTGTATCTCCTAATTTATATTTATATAATTCCCTATCTATATAATAATTTTCTTGGGAGGTGGGAAGAATAGAAATAAATTTTTACTTAATAAAGAAAAAATACATTATATATTCAAATATATTAATATTTTAACTTTACAAAGTTTAGTTTGCGAGAAGTTCTTCTTTTTCAAGCATTGATAACTGGAAAATTATTAGTGCTTCGACATTTTTACTGAGGAAAAATCGCCTTCAAATTAACCACAGAATCTGATAATGTGCACAATATATGTGTTTTTAATTACGCCCAGTATATGAAATAAATTTATAAGTATAATATATTTTGTTAAATAGAGAAAAATATTTAAATTTGATCCAATCTTGCTCTTAATTCTTTCGAAAATATCAATAAGTCTAAAAATAAATGCAATAATAAAAGAATAAACTGTAAAAGCTACATCTAGTAAATATATAATTATTATCAATTTGAATTTTTTCTTCGATTATTTTATTATTTTCTTTTTTATTATTATACATATCTGAAATACTTAATTTTCTGTAAAAGATTTTGCTGTTTTAATTAATGACATTTATGCACTGATTTTAAGAACGAGACATTTTCAATAAGTTTAAACATCACACAAGTTTGAAATAATTATGCAAAGAATAAGTTTGAAAATTCCTATATAAATATTCCTGCATTTTTTTGAAGCCAGAGATGACGAATTAAGCGTCTTGACGCGTGCGACTACATTATTTCGTCGTACAACATCGCTAATTGGGACGAGCGTTCGTTTTGCTCTCATAACGACTCACGATCCATCTTCTTCCTCTACTCCTCCCGATATTCTTTCCGACGAACGGTCCGGTAATCTCATTATACGTTAACGATGTAGCGCAGCATGATATTTAGGATATCGATGCTACCGATACATTCGCCACGAATTTACATCAACGTCATCGGGAGGAAGATAAATCTTTGTATTAAGCGGTATACTTTAATAAGAGCAAATCGATGGATCTCTCTTTCAGTTAATCTTCACGATTTATTTGCGACGTCGTCGTCAAAAATCATCGGAGCGACATTTCAAGTTGCGAGAGAATTCTTATTAAAAGATAACAATGTCAAAGATTATATATATATATATATATATATATATCACTGAGAACGAAATTTATTCAATTCGAATAAATATTTATTTTAACACTTATCTTATAAATAATTTACATTTGAAACTAATAATGTTGATTTGACGTGAAAAAATATTTATGTAATATAAGAAAATTCTTTTCAAAATAGATAAATATTTATTTGTTTGAAATAAATAATTTATAAGGCAGTATTGAAATAAATATTTATTAATTTAATAATTTTTTTAGTGTTTTAAACCGTTTGCCGCCTGCATTTTTTTTTAATCTGTTTGTACATCAAATATTTGAAGAATCGTCTGAGAGACAATATAGATAATATAAGAGTTTAACACGGCTCTGTAATATAAATATAAATATAAATATAAATATAAATTTAAAGTGTAAGACAGGCAATAAAAGAGCCAATCGCGGAAAACAGTGCGCTATCCCAACGAAACTAAATTTTTTCGTTAGAATTAAATATCTGTGCACGAGGCACCAAATTTACTTGGTCACGGCCAAGATTTTAAAATATAAAATAATCTCATCTTTGAGATTTAATTTCAATAATCCTTTAACCCCCTTACGGAAATAAATAAATGCAAGACAAAAATGTAGATCCGAAAGTTCCTGACTTTTCTACTTCACATACAGATATCTTCTATATCTATATTTATCTATATCTATATTTATCTATATCTATATTTATTTATATCTATATATATATATATATAAATCGTTATCGCCTCAGTGTTTACTTATTATTTAGTTTATTTATTTATATATTACACCATTTCCATATTACACTTTATATTAATCTATCTCTATTTATCTATATTAAGCTCGGACATCAGTGTATCTTATCCATTTATCGATTCCTGTGTTTCAGATTCACTATTGAAAACAACCAAAAACTGCATCGAAGAAAACACTAAAAATTCTGACTTGATCGATATATCATATATTTATATTAATATAAATTATTTATATATAATTCGCATATATAAAAAAATGTATATCAATATAAATATATAATATATTATTAATTTATATTATAATTGTAAATTATACATAATACAATATTTATAATATAGTTTAGATATTTAATATACATACTTTATCTCCACTTACGTACTTTTCGATCAATTCAATATTGAATTTTTTTTTTTTACAAGAGTCGTTTTACGAGTCTATATAATGATTAATCATTAAAAAAAATTTTGACATCAACGAAAAATAAATTGCATACTGCAGCTTTATATTTCATAAAAGATTAATTTCGGCACGGCCTGAAAACCCTCTCTTGCAAATGAATATACACGAGAACCCTTAAAGACACATCTCCAACCGGAAAGATATTTTCCTGGATTTTCCGCGAGAGTTTT